GGAGGCGGAGGCGGAGGCGGAGGCGGAGGCGGAGGCGGAGGCGGAGGCGGAGGCGGAGGCGGAGGCGGAGGCGGAGGCGGAGGCGGAGGCGGAGGCGGAGGTGGAGGCGGAGGCGGAGGCGGAGGCGGAGGCGGAGGCGGAGGCGGAGGCGGAGGCGGAGGAGGAGGAGGAGGAGGAGGAGGAGGAGGAGGAGGAGGAGGAGGACGATCGCGCCGCATCGCCGTGCCCGTCTCGTTCACGAAGCAGCGCGAAGCGCCGCGCGAAGAGTGCCCTGAGGTCTGGCGTTGCAATGTTTTCACGGCTGGCGTCTTCACTTCACTTCGGGCCCCGGGACCCTCACAGATCGATCTTGCTCGGAAAATGGAGCAGGAAGATGGGGTCCGAGGCTTCGGCCGTGGCTTTTTGGCGATGTTGCATTATTTTGCAACGTCCGATCTCAGGGCGACGTGGGGAGATCCGCAATCCCAGACACTGAGCGGCAGAGGGCAGCGGCGACGGCAGCGGCGACGGCAACGGCGACGGCGACACCGACGGGGACACCGACGACGGGCGGTGACGTCGACGTCGACGACGGCGTCGCCCTCGCGACCGAGGCGGAGGCATCTTCGGCGCCGCCGCGCCCGCGGCTGGAGGTCTTTTCGGGCAGCCCGCGGCGCAGCCCGCGGCCGGTGGGCTCTTCGGGCAGCCGGCGGCCGCGACGCAGGGCGGGCTCTTCGGGCAGCCCGCGGCGCAGCCCCAAGGATCCGAGGCGGGGACCCAGCCGTCGCCACCGTCTGGGGCATCGTTTGTCGGGGGCCTCAGCAGGCGGCAGAGATTGATGGATTTGCCTTTCCCGGGCCCGGAAAAAGAAGAAGCAGAAAGAAGCCATGTAATTATATATATCTATATACATATACATATACACCTATACGACCACCCTTCGGGTGATAAGGAGGTTGTGGGGGGGAGAGGGGGGAGGGAACCAACATCAGACTCAATCGATCTCACTATCGATCTCACTCAACGGGACACCACGGGACACCACGGGACATTTGTCGATCTCACTATCGGTATCACGATCGATCTCACTCAGCGGGACACCACGGGACACCTATCGATCTCACTATCGAGCTCATTTCCTCGGACACCACGGGACAACACGGGACACCTCGGGGTACCACATTGATCTCAGTATCGATCTCACGATCGATCTCATTCAACGGGACACCACGGGACACCTGTGAATCTCACTATCGACCTCACCATCGAGCTCATTTTCTCGGACACCACGGGACACCTCTGGGCACAAGATCGATCTCAGTATCGATCACACTATCGATCTCACTCCACGGGACCCGAGACACCACGGGACACCACGGGACGCCGCGGAACACCGCGAGCCACCGCCGGACGGACGGACGGACGGGCGGGCGGGGGAGAATCATTTGTCTTGACTTCGCCCTAGCAACGGCGGACACCACAGGACACCACGGGACACCGCGGGACACCGCGATCCACCGCCAGACGAGCGGGAGGGGGATAATCATTTGTCTTGATTTTGCCCTAGCAGCGACGGACACCACGGGACACCGCGGGACACCGCGGGACACCGAGGGCCACCGCCGGACGGACGGACAGAGGAGAATCATTTGTCTTGACTTCGCCCTAGCAACGGCGGGACACCACGGGACACCACGGGACACCACGAGACACCGCGGGACACCGCGAGCCCTCGCCGGACGGACGGACGGACGGAGGAGCAACATTTGTTATTGACTTCGCCCTAGCAACGGCGGGTTCATTCCTCTCGCGCGCCCACGCAGCTTCGCCTCGCCCGCACGCACGACACGAACGAAACGAAACGATTTTCCGGTTGGGGGTCTCCGTTCCGCTGCGATCTCACCCTCCAACCTCCGATATACGCATATCGGAGGTGAGGGGCTGAGATCGAAGTGGAACGGAGAGCCCCCTACCGGGGAATCGGTTTCGGTTTCGTGTTCGTGCGTACCGTGCGTGCGGGCGAGGCGAAGCTGCGTGGGCGGGCGTGAAGAAAGTCTCCTCCGGCTGAGGCGCGGCCGGACCAAATGATTCCTTTAGCCCGCGGTGTCCCGCCGGTGTCCCGCCTCTGGCTGAGGCGCGGCCAGACCAAATGATTCCTTTCCGGGGGCCGGTGGCCCGCGGTGTCCCGCCAGTGTCCCGCCAGTTTCCCGCCAGTGTCCCGTCGGTGTCCCGATGATGATGATGATGATGATGATGATGATGATGATGATGATGATGATGATGGTGATGGTGATGGTGATGATGATGATGATGATGGTGACCATGATGATGGTGCCCCGATGATGATGTTGATGATGATGATGTTGTTGATGATGATGGTGAGATGATGATTGTGGTGTTCCGACGCTGATGATGATGTTGTCCCGATGATGGTGATGTCGATGATGATGATGATGATGGTGATGATGATGATGATGATGATGATGATAGTGACGATGATGGTGTCCCGATGATGATGGTGGTGATGATGCTCATGTTGATGATGATGGTGATGAGGTGATGATGATGATGGTGTCCCGATGATGATGAAGATGATGATGTTGATTACATTGATGACGAAGATGATGGTGATGACGTTGGTTGTGACATCGAATGTGATATCGATAGTGAGATCGATAGTGAGACCGAGTGTGAGATCGACTGCGAGATTGATAGTGAGATCGATAGTGCGATCGATTGTGAGGTCGATAGTCAGATCGATTGTGAGATCGATCGAATGAAATAGATCGAGTGAGATCGTCTGTGAGATCGATCGAGAGAGATCGATCGAGCGAGACCGATAGTGAGATCGGTATTGAGATCGATAGTGAGACCGATCGAGTGAGACGTTGGTTCCTCCTCCCCCGAACCTCCTCATCACCCGAGTGGTGGTCGTATAGGTATATATAGACAAATAACCCCACCAGCTGTCGAGGTCACCGAATAGGACGATGCCCAGGGCGGTGGTGACGAATAAGCCCGGCCTCGCACAAGGAGGACTCTTCGGTCAGCCCGCGACCGGCGGGCTCTTCGGGCAGCCGGCGGCGCAGCCCGCGGCCGGCGGGCTCTTCGGGCAGCCCGCGGCAACGGTCCTCCTTCTCCTCTTCGCCCTCGTTCCGCATCCCCCTCGTCCCTCTCGGATCGTCTCCCTCTCCCACCTCCTCCCCTCCTGTTCCTCCCTGCTCCCGTTGCTCTTTCAAGCTAATTCCTGGAGGATGACGGCCGTCATCTGGGGGGAGGGGCCGATGACGTCGCGTTTCGCGCCGCCGGTGTCTGGGAATGTTCAGGAATAACCTAGGATTAGGAATAACCGAGGACGGGTCGCACCAGCATGTAGGTGGCCACCACAGCACTAAGCCTCCGTACACCACAGCGCTTGTGTACACCACACCACCTATATACACGTCAGTGGCCGCGTGCAACTCAGCGCCATTGTGTGCCACAGTGCCTGCGTCTATCACAGCGCCTGTGTAGACCACAGCGCTTGGATACACCACATCTGCCGTGCGCAACGCAACATAAGTGTACACCACAGTGCCCGCGTGCACCACAGCGCCTGTGGACACCACTGCGCCAGCGTGCACCACAGCAACCGTGTGCAACAGACAACTATGGAGCGCCTGTGAATTCCACTGGGAACAATTGTTCCCTACCTAGGCTCTGCCTAGAAGGGTTCTTACTCTCTAGCTTGAAGGGGCCGGGCAGTGGAAAGCGCCCCGGGCGGTTCCCCCAGTCCCCTGGGAGCGGTTCCCCCCAGTCTACTGGGAGCTTTAGCTTTAGCTTTAGCTTTAGCTTTAGCTTAGCTTTAGCTTAGCGTTTCGCTTAGCGTTTCGCTTAGCTTTTCGCTTAGCGTTTAGCTTAGCGTTTCGCTTAGCTTTAGCTTAGCTTGAGCTTAGTTGTAGCTTAGCTTTAGCTTAGCTTTAGCTTAGCTTTAGCTTAGCTATAGCTTAGCTATAGCTTAGCTTTAGCTTAGCTTCAGCTTAGCTTTAGCTTAGCTTTAGCTTAGCTTTAGCTTAGCTTTAGCTTAGCTGTAGCTTAGCTTTAGCTTAGCTGTTGCTCAGCTTGAGCTTAGCTTGAGCTTAGCTTTAGCTTTGCTTTAGCTTAGCTTTAGCTTAGCTTTAGCGTAGCTTTAGCGTAGCTTTAGCTTTAGCTTAGCTTTAGCTTTAGCTTTAGCTTTAGCTTTAGCTTAGCTTTAGCTTAGCGTTACTGTTACTACTAATGCTGCTTTCATAGGGGTTCCAACTCCTAGGTAGGGTCGCACTGGGATAATTTTATTCCCTACCTAGGCTCTGCATAGAAGGGTTCTTACTCTCTAGCTTAAAGGGGCCGGGCAGTGGAAAGCGCCCTGGGCGGTTCCCCCAGTCCCCTGGGAGTGGTTCCCCCAGTCCCCTGGGAGCTTTAGCTTTAGCTTTAGCTTTAGCTTAGCTTTAGCTTAGCTTTAGCTTAGCTGTAGCTTAGCTTTAGCTTAGCGTTTCGCTTAGGGTTTCGCGTAGCTTGTCGCTTAGCGTTTAGCTTAGCTTTAGCTTAGCTGTAGCTTAGCTTGAGCTTAGCTGTAGCTTAGCTTTAGCTTAGCTTTTTTAGGATTTGGAGCAGGGATCCTTCTGGAAAAAGTGGAGCGCCGCTGGAATCCACGAGTCCTCCCGAGTACCCCCGCATCATCCTAACTTCTCGGACCTGCGTCCAAAAGGCTCTGGGAGAATTGGTCGTCCAAGAACCAAATCGATTTCTTCAATCGACCTGTCTGCGGTGGACACTTGGATGCGCACGTGCGCTGTAGCGCCGACCTGCACGACGGGGGGAAGGGTGAGGAAAGAGGAGGAGGAGGAGGAGGACGAGGTTTAGGATGAGGAGGAGGAGGAGGAAGAGAAGGAGGGAGAAGGGAAGAACATCGCATTCTATTTTCAGCACTTCCATGGCGTGGTGTTTAGCTGTCCGCAGCAGATCCTAACTGATGTGCTCCTTCTACCTGTCCTGTGCACGCAAGTGTTGTGGTTTACACCAGCGCTGCGTTGCCCGCGGATGCTGTCGTGTACGCAGGCGCCGTGGTGTGCACAGGCGCTGCGGTGCACGCAAGAATTGTGGTGTACACAGGCGCTGTGTTGCACATGGTTGCTGCGGTGTACACACTCGTTGTGGTGTACAGAGGCGCTGTGGTGCACGCAAGCACTGTGGTGTACACAGGCGCTGCGTTGCACACAGCTGTTGCGCTGTACGCAGGCGCCGTGGTGTCCACAGGCGCTGTGGTGCACGCGAGCACTGTGGTGTACACGGGCGCTGTGGTGCAGATCGCCACCTATGTGCTGCTCCTACTTGGCCTCGGCCGACGCCGCCGGCACGGAACGTGACGTTTTCTGTGGGAGTGGGGGGGCGGAGCCGATGACGGACGTTATCCCAGGAAATATGAAAAGCAGGCTCCTTCGTCCCCCCCCCTCCTTCCTCATCACCTTCATTCTGGTCACCGTTGCTGCTGGCACCAGGGTGTCGTCGCAAACACCGCCGGCGTGTTCCTTCTGCGCTTGCCCCTCCTCTCGCCTTCTGCTGCTCCTCGTCCACCCTGTCTCCTTGGCTCTTTCATATATATATATATATATATAGATATGTGTATATATATATATATATATATATATGCTCGCCCCCCCCCCAGCGCCCCCCAACGATCATCTTTCTCTTCCTCTTCCTGCTCATCTTCCTCCTGCTCCCTCTCATGATACGCTTTTTCCTTCTCTCCGTCATAACCCTGCCTCCACCCACATCCCCTCCCCCCCCAGCATTCCGTTTGAATCATCGTAAATGCTTGTTTTCCTCACTCTTATCTTCACGCTCCTCCATCATCATGTCTTCGTTGTGAGTTCTACCGCAGGCCCCAATGGGAGACGTTGCATGCCGCTCCTCTCAACAGTAAGTTGCTCCATATGGAGCTTCACCGAAGGCCTCAGTGGCAGGGCCCTCATCCGTCTGCACCTCCTCCTGCTCCCCACAATAAACACCCAAAAAACCAAACATACACAGTGTTTGGCGCTCTCGATGCAAGGAGATGTTTGTTTTTGTTTTTTTGTTTTTTAGGGTTTGAGGATCAACGAAACACTTTTTTTGGGGGGGGGGTTGGAGGCCCCATGCTCGCAGCGGCCTCCCTACCAGCACCCTTCTGCTTGCCAAATCATAACCCCCCCCCAAAAAAAAAACAGTGTTTGGCGCCCTCGATGCAAGGAAATGCTGTGTATGTTTTTGTTTTATTGGGTCTGAGGATCAACGAAACACTGTTTTTTTTGGGGGGAGGGTTAGGGGCCCCATGTTCGCCGAGGCCTCTGCGAGCATGGGACCTCCAAAACCAAAAAAAAACAAAAACACCAAAAATACACATTGTTTCGTTGATTCTCAAACCCAAATAAACAAAAAAACACAGCATCTCCTTGCATCGAGGGCGCCAAACACTGTGTATGTTGGGTTTTTTTGGTTTTATGATTTGGCAAGCAGAAGGGTGCTGGTAGGGAGGCCGCTGCGAGCATGGGGCCTCCAAAACCCCCCCCCCCCAAAAAAACATACAACCCAAACCAAAAAAAAACATGTCCTTGCATCGAGGACGCCAAACACTGTGTATGTTTGGTTTTTGTTGGTGTTTATTGTGGGGAGCAGGAGGAGGTGCAGATGGATGAGGAGGAGGAGGAGGAGGAGGAGGAGGTAGAGGAGGAGCATGAAGAGGAGGAGGACGAGAAGGAGCAGGCGATTAATGATTGATTTGTTGTGGTGGTGGTGTGGGGGGCGCTGGGGGGGGGGAATATATATTTATATATACACACATACATATAATACATATATATATATATATATATATATATATATGTATATGTGTGTGTGTGAGAGCAGGGCGATTTTTCGTTTTCTGTTATTTACACAGGTGAATCTGTATATTAATGGAATACAGAGTTTAATTCGGCGTGGTGTGAGGAATCATTGTTTCAAAGCTTATTTCGGTCCCAACAAGGAAATTATCCCAGTGCGACCTACCTAGGAGTTGGAGCATTGAGGAAAGCAACATCTACATCTACACCGACAGCTACATTTACATCTACACCTGCATCTACATTTACATCAACATCAGCAGCGAGACTCACATCTACATCTACACCTACATCTACACCTACATCTAGACCTACATCTACACCTACATCTACATATACATCTACACCTACATCCACATCTACACCTATACCTACATCGACATCTACATCTAAATCTGCACTGTCGCATTGGTTTTGCTTTTGTGTTGCATTGCCTTTGCTTTTGCTCTTGCCTTTGCTTTTGCCTTTGCTTTCGCTTTTGCTGTTGCTGTTGATTTGCTTGTGTGTTGCTGGTACTTGATGTTGTTTTGACTTGCCTGCTATGCTATGCTATGGTATGCTATGCTGCGCTATGCTATGCTAGGCTATGTTATGATTTGCTATGCTGCGCTATGCTATGATATGCTATGCTATGCTATGCTATGCTGCGCTATGCTGTGCTGTGCTGTGCTGTGCTATGTTATGTTATGCTGCGCTGTGCTATGCTAAGCAATGCTATGCTACGCTAGGCTATGCTGCGCTATGATATGCTATGCTATGGTGTGCTAAGCTATGCTCTGCTATGCTATGCTTGGCTATGCTGTGCTTTACTATGCTGTGTTAATGCTGCGCTGCGCTATGCTGCGCTAAGCTATGCTAAGCTAAGCTAAGCTAGGCTCAGCTAAGCTAAACTAAGTCAAGCTAAGCTAAGCCAAGCTAAGATGAGATAAGCTAAGCAAAGCTAAGCTACAGCTACGCGAAGCTAAGATGAAGCTAAGCTAAACTAAGCTCAGCTAAGCTAAGCTAAACTAAGATGAGATACGCAAAACTAAGGTAAGGGGGCGCAGCTGGGGGAACCGCGGGGCGGGGACTGGGGGAACCGCCCGGGGCGGGCAACATTGTCCGGCCCCTTTTAAGATAGAGAGTAGGAACTTTTCTAGGCTGAGCCTAGGTCGGGAATTACCAACGCTAGCAAAAATATCTAAAGGCTGCCGCCTCTGCCGCCGACCCCAAATTGGGGTTACGCGCGACGCAAAGGAGGTCTCATTGAA